CTTCCGGCTTAGGGTTCGAGGAATCTCCTTTATCCTGTGGTGCCTTTGTCTTTGCATCTTGTTTGTGTATTCCAGCTCCTTATCTCATCTTGCAGTCTGACTCTTTTTCCTGTTCTTTTGGATTAGGGTGTCAGGGTCTGGGTTTTGTCAGACACCCCTTTTAGTTAAGCATTTCTTCTTAATTCTTAATTTCTTTGTTTCCCTGGCGTTGGCGGGGCAGGAGCGGCTGATCCCGCACTCCTCACACGCTCTGGTGGCATCACTGCCGTGTGCTGTCCCAGCGTGGGGTGGGCTGGAATGGACAGGGGAGGATGGAATGGGGGTGGAAGAGGATGGGGACTGTGCAGAGGCACCACACTACGAAAAGCTGACATCCACAAAGGAGTCAGAGGAGTCCCGCAACTTTATTTGAATAAAGGGAGAGAATCCACTGGGGCCCGTGGGGTCTCTCTCGAGGTTTTGGAGGGTGCAGCCACTTTTTGTTCTAAATTCCCGATTGCATGTTTCCCTCTCCCTTTCCCCATCGGCTGAGGTACCAGGAAGGTACAGCCTTCGTGAAACCCCCTACCCCATATCTACTACTCCTTGAACGTGTGTTGCCCTTTCCCCCTGAAGTTCAAAAGTCCAGGCTGCCCGAGTTGTGTGGGTCCACCACAAGTTCAGACTGTCTGCAATACACTTTGTGCAGACCCATTTGTCTTATTACCCTACGGTTCAGGAGCTCAGGGTGCCTGGATCGAGCTGCCTGGGTTCTGTAGCAAACTTGCCCGGGTGGATGTTCATAGAGACATTAAGAATCATTTAGAAGTCATAAACACCCATTTCTGTAACAGTAGTGAAGAACCCCACACCTATTCTTCCCACATCGAGTCTTTTGTGAAGACATCAGCAAGCATTTTTCCCGTCAGGACAAAAGGGATTGGGACGGGGCAGTGTGGATGGACTCAGCTGGGGTGAAGAAAATTGGGAATAGAGGCGGTCGAGATGCGGATGGAGGCGGAAGAATGGGGATGGTATATGCACGGAGGGCGATAAAGGGGGTAGGAAGGGGTGGGATGGGGATGAACGACCACGGGGGTGGATGGCAGGCGATGGAACGGCTTGGGGCGGGGATGAGGGAGATGGAGGCGGGTGTGGGCAGGTGCCGGCGGCAGCTCCTCCCGCCCCGCGCGGCCGGATGTCCTTTGGAGCGGGAGCGGCGGGCGGAGCGGGCGCGTGGTGCGGGACGGGCCCGGGGCAGGGGGGGTCTGGGGGCAGGGGGGGAACA